AAGATCAAAATAAGAAGTCTTAGTTGTAATAAATTGTTAGCTACTAGTTGCATATCCCCCGCGCAAGCGCGGGGCCGGTATCATTGATATTTGTTTGTGTTTTTTGCGGTTGTTGGTTTAGTCGGTTATTCTAATAATACCAAATAATGATGAAATGAAAAGAATGTAGCAATAGTGTAAAGTGAAAATATTGTATATATAATGTGTTAAATGTTATTTATATGCGAAGTAAGGTTATAAGGATAACTAAATTATAATATAATTTCTAGTGTATAAAAATAGGTGTCTATCTTTTTTTTATGTTGGAAATAGTTTTTATATCGGAGATCAATACTTGATATAATTATTTATTTATAGTATTTATATTTGTACTAAACGATTTATCAATTAGAAAATAACTTTAATTTAAGCTAATATTTGTTGTTTGGGTTTCAATAGATAGGTTTGGATATTTCTTTTTTTTTAAGTTTGGATTTTGTTCATGAATAATGTGGCATTTTTATTTACGGCGTTATCGACTGCGGAAATCCATTCGCCGGAGTCTGTTAAAAATGAAATTATAGTAACTATTAAAAATTGAAGAGAAATTACATAGTTATTTTATAAATAACAAAAATACTTAATTTAGTTGTTTTTATTTTATTTCACATTCAAATTTTTTTGAAAATATATATTAGGAAATATGTTCTATCTATTGAACCCACATGCTTGTAGACTTAATTAGATGTGTCATACCACTTTGCTAAAGTGTATTCATTGTTTATAGTCATTTTAAAAACAATTATAAGCTTTTAAAATTTAAACGCGTGGGACCCACAAACTTGCTGACATGGACAGCTTTAGGAGCCTTAGAAGTGAACTATTATAATATAGATTTACAAATCCCCTATATATTATTTGAGAATCATTTAAAAAGTTGTAACCTTAAGTTTGTAAGAATTAAAAATAACCTCAATCCTACATGGCATAGCTCTTTGGCTTCTATTTTCAAATCCCAAGGATTCTAGGGCATGTGATATAATGTATATTTTAAAAATAATATTCTCTAGCAATATAATATTCCGTAGACTATAGTTGGTCGCATATATCAAATATTTATTGTTTCACATGCTTTCCTTAAATAAAACCTACGGAATTACCTAATGTGATCAAAATATATATTTGACAATTAAAGATTTTAAACAATAAAGATTTAATAACAATCTGTATACTTTTTTTATTTTTTTTATTTATTTACTATTAAAATAAATTACACAATTACATTAATTATATAATAAAAATCTAAATTTTTTTTTGTGCATGTTGTATTTCGAATTTTTCAAAATGAGTATAAATTACTAAAATTGTTAAAAGTCCCACATAAAATTTTAAGATCAAGGTTTTAATTTTTTTTTCTATACTAAAAGATATAATGATTATAAGACCATATGAAGAAATAGTTTTAGTTTATATATATTTAATATCATTTTAATTAAACTATACATCTTATGAAAATACATACGTATATTTTGATATTTTCCTTGAACATATATTGAAAAGTTAATATTTTAATTTTGAAATATGTCATTGTTTTTTTTAAATGATTATAAATTATTGAAACTACTAAAAATCTCACATTAAAAAAAATTCGTTGGTGTAAAGTTTTGTTACACAAATATGCAAATAATCATAAAATCATATGAGTAGAAACCTCATTTAATTAATATCCATATTAAAAGTGTGTTATATTACTATGTTTATATCATTTAAATTTAATTATATATCATATACAATATATAAGATTGATTATTTTGATTTATTTACCCTANAATTAATATCCATATTAAAAGTGTGTTATATTACTATGTTTATATCATTTAAATTTAATTATATATCATATACAATATATAAGATTGATTATTTTGATTTATTTACCCTAATTGTGAATAAACAAGAGTAATAGTTAAATTTATATGCATACGCCAATTTATTACATAATAGTAACTGATTTCTTAGTTATTTAATATAGATTTATTATTTTATTATTTATAATATGCAGAAAAATATAAAATAAATAATAAATTCAAAATACTTATTGTGCATAAAGTGCAGATCTTAACCTAAGTATTTATCTCTTTAATTATTTTTATAATCTTAAGTATTTTGTAAAACAAACGAAATGAGAATAAAATTCAAAATAAATATTTATATCGAGTAATAACCAAAATATAAAAAAAAACATAGCAAGAGAAAAATGGAAGATAAATAGGACTGACACGTGAACGTAAACTTCTCATAACCATAATTAATTTTTAAATTGTTAAATCATGATATAAAACTGAGTTAATTTTTAATTTGTTAATTTTTTATTTTCTTAAATTTTTAAATCATTATGGTTATGTTAAATCATGACCATAATTAATTTTAAATTATTTATTTGTATTTGTAAAACTTAAAATATTGTTTTTCAAAATAATTTAAAAATTAACATAATTTTTTATAAATTATTTTTAAAAAACTAATTTGTAAAAAATATAATTTTATAATATTATTAGACAGATAAATAAATTATATTAAATTAGTTTTGAAACTTTATATATTTTAAATTCAAATATTTTACTAATTGCTTCTTAAAAAAATATTAGGGAACTTGCTAATACTCTACCATTCAAGCCCAGTAACACTCCATTTATTTTCTATCACTCGAACACTGAAAAGTGAAAAGATATATGAAAACAGATCCATTAAATTCTAAGATTTGATCTACATTTCTAATTAAAATTGTTTCTGATCCTACGTATAGATAACTATATAAAAATTTCAAAATTCTTAAATTTCAAATACATACAAAAACAATCATATGTAAATTTTAAATTTGTCAATACTAAAATTTTATATTTTAATTACATATATTCACCCTGCGCAAGGCACAGGTCTTATCCTAGTTATAGTTATAGTTCAACTCATGTAACAAATAGTCATTCATGTGTCGCTATAAATATATACATATTTACATGTTTCAGTTTAATCGATTATAAATCAAACCATATCCAAATCCTATGGTTTTTATAAAATCACATCCATTCGGTTTGTATGGTATATACCAAAAATAACCATATTATCGATTGTTAATATCTTTTAAAAATATAAAATTAAAAAAAAAGAACTAAGATATTTAAATCATTGATAACAAAAAAATTTCAATGTGAAAAATTTAATAAGTTTATAATTTATAAATGTTCTTGAAAATTTACTGAAAATTTTGAAATTAAAATATTTATGTAATCTTATATGGTATATAGTTTAATCTGTATATATATATTTGTTTTATTATTGTATGATACTTTTTACTTATATGGTATTAAAGTCATGTATATCTTTTTATAATAAAATGTTAAACTATTGATCATTAATTTTTAACATAATAATTTTAATAGTTTAGTTATTTATTCTCGTTTGTTAAATTTCAAAATATGAATTTCAAAATATAACCTATACGAAAAAATCTAAAGTTTAATTTTATAGCTAATTTGATTGTTTAATTTATTTTAAGAATATAAAATTAAAGAAAAATGATGGAGGATATATAAATTGTTATCAAATATTTATTATTAGAATCATTAAGTGTCATATATATATATATATATTAGTCATTTATGGTAATTCCGTAGGTTTTATTTATGGAAATAAAATAAAATCGTAATTATATCTTAGGGAACAATCATTAAGTATCATAAATATATATTAGTCATTTATGGTAATTTCGTAGGTTTTATTTATGGAAAGAAAATAGCATATCATATCATTATATCATATAGTTTGACTAACTAATGTATCTAGCAATCTATAAAAATCTAATGTGGACTTACTTATTTTTCAATTGAATCTAATTGACTACCTAATTGAATGACACCTATGCATTGAAATCTCTTTTAATTAATACAAAATTGAGGTTACATCTTTTCAAATGTTCCTGAATTAATATATAGAGGATTTGATATATGCGATCAACTATAGTCTGCGAAATATTATATTGCTAGATAGTATAATTTTTAGACTATAGTTTTTATAAAGTGCTCAAGAATCCTTCTAAATTGAATTAGAAGGGATAGAGAACTGACACGTAAGATAAAGTTATTTGTCTAATTAATACAAACTTGAAGTTACATCTTTTCAAATGTTTCTCAATTAATATATAGGAGATTATTATATTTAATTATTAATAAAATTGTTAGGTAGATTTAGGTAAAAATTATATGTCTAAATTAAATTATACTTTTTGTTTCTTTTTGCAAAACAAACAATCACATTAGAAGATACAAAGAACAAAAAGATATATGACATGCACAAAGAGAGAAAGTTTCGATTTGTTTCTTTATAAAAAAAGAAACAAACAATCAAATACTAGATTATTACCATATTTATAACAACATAATTTGGAAAATAGAGATTTTAATTTATTTACATAAAGGATGGAGACAAGTCAAACGGGACAAAGGTGACCGAATCGAAGTTTTATCCACAAATCGAAATTCCCCGCCGAAAATTTCAGACACAACAAAGAAACTCGTAGCCCGAAGCCTGACGTCATGTCCTAGGAAACTACGGAAAGACCCCTAGATAGTCTCTGTTAATAAAGGGGTACTCTAGTCTTTAACAGTACTCCCTCTCAACAGTCCAATCAAATTCAAAACCTCTGTTACATAATAATCCGAAGACACGACGTAAGGGAAGCTGCACGCTTATGCGACGATGTCGTTTTGTGCGAAACTAAAAAAAAAACAATTTATGCCGTTTTGTCTCTTTATAATTAAAACAGTGAAAGAAAAATTGTGACGTTTATTTCCTTTCTCTGCAATTCTTCTCACAAAAATCTTTGCTTAAACTCATCAAAACCGATTGTGAAATCTCTGAGTTTCCGAGCATAAACTAGGGTTCTGTCTTAACGGGTTTTGTAGTGAGTTCACGTGAAGTAGAATCTAGCAGAAACAGTGACTATGATGGAGGTTATAGAGAGAGATATGCAGACGGAGACAGAGACGGATACGGATGAAGATATGGATACAGAGGAGCCAATGGTGTTCGAAGTTACTGAAATCGATTTGGAGTATGAGTTTGATGCTGCTCGCTGGTGCGATTTCACTAAGGAGGAGTCTCTGGTTGAGTCTCGTGTTGCCGAACTCTGGTTCGAGACCGCTCAGTCTTATCCACCGTCTCGTGAGTACCGTTGAAATCCAAAGCTTAGGACTTTTAATTGCAATCTAATCATTAAATTTGCAAAATACAGAGCAATCAATGGCTTATTAGGATTAGTGTGTAACTTGTTTTGAATTGATTGTGTGTGTGTGTGTCTCTTAGCTTTTGCAATCAAACTATTAATGATGAGAGAGGAGGTTTCTGATGAAAAGACCAAGCCTTTGTGGAAATCAGAAGATGTGGTAGTTACAGAACATGTCCGGGATAGTGACATAGATACCTCTCAGGACCAGCATTGTCTAGCCACAGATGTGAATGAAACAGGTGAATTATCTTGAAACTAGTTTAAACTGGTTTTGTTGGAGTCCTTACAAACTAGTTAAACACTAAACAGTTTCTTTTTCAGGGAATGAAAAGAGGTCTGGGGTTTTTAACTTCATTCATGGTGGTGAGTTGAAGAATGTTCCAAATGAGTCTTTGCATAAAGGTGATCACTTTTTACTATCATATCATATATTTGCATAAAGGAAATCTTTTTATTTGTATTAACTCATCTAACGTCCCCATCTTATTTGGTATTTTACTTCATTGATCAGACGTCATTTTCTATTTAAATGTTTACTTTTTTTTTTCTGTCTAAAATCTCACTTTCTCTACTTTTTAACAGGACCAACGATTAGTAATCATATACACAATGATAAAGTAAAATGCAGAACGAAGTCAAGCACCAGGCCAATACCAAGAAGCTCAACATTGATGAAGCCTACTGCTAGCCAATTGGCAAAATTAGATAATGCCAGGTGATTTTAATGAGAATCATATCTCTCTTGGTTTCTTTCTTTTGTCAACTTAATTCAAATGAACTCTTACTACTTGGTTGTTTCTTCTAGACTCCGTATGCAAGTGGATCATGCTAAGGAGAAAGGCGTTTATCCTTCATCTGGATCTGAAGCACAGGCTTCTAAAAGACAGAAGCTGGATGGAGGTCTACTTCGTAAGGTAGATTGTTTTAGTAGTTCTATTTTTTGTTGTATTGATCCAAGTGTTTGACTAGAACCTCAGCTTTTACCTCAAATAAACTCTTTTTGTTCTTTTAAACTCTTTTTAGGTTGCTGAAACGAAACAAGAGATGGATTTTGTCCACAAGGCAGTCAAGAAGGTTGCTATCTGTCCCTTGACTACTCCTGAAAACATAAAGAGAAATTCAACGCTTGTTGTTGTGAATCGTTTAATCGGGAATGCTTATATTGTTTTCCAGGACGGAACTCTAGAGAGAAAAATACAACATCGGAGGACAAAGAGTACTGTCCCACAGGAGCCTGATTTTGCAACCTCGCATAGAGCATATAGGATGCGGTGAGGGTCTATCTGATATTGTCTGACAGTGATGATTTGTTTTACTGAAAAGTTCTCACATTCTTTGATTATTTTCAGTCACAGCAAAGACGATGCTACTAAGTTGGACGAGGACGCAACATCAGTGTATAGATTCAAAGCACGCCCTTTCAACCGAAAAGTTAGTATATGCTATTACCAAAAAAACATGTAAATCATCTTTGCTGTTATGTCCTAAGCTCAAGATTCCATTGCTTGCAGATCTTTGAGGCTCCATCGTTTCCCATTCGGAAGAAGAGCACTCCTAAGCTACCAGAATTTCATGTAAGCGTTAGAAACTAAAATGGTGCTGGTGTTACTCCCATGTTTTACAGACTTCTGATTATATTTCTTATCAGGAATTTCACTTGAAGACCTCAGAAAGAGCTATGCAACATTCATCAGCAGTATCAACAGGGAATAATTATCATAAGGTTATATATCAACTGAAACTTACTGGATGTAATATCATGTTTAAAGATATTCATCTTTCTTCTAGACAATTCAAATCAGTCTCAAAGTGCTGATGTTAAAGGATTGAATCTTTCTTTTTGACAGGGATCATATAGGCCTGATACAAAACCTTTTCTTGACGGTGTTAACAGGGAACCAAGAAGGTACTATTTATTCAATCACAAAAGTGCATTTTTTTTCTTTCTTACTCCAAACTATTCTTGTAATTATTCTGCGCCCTTAATTTTTAGCAGACAAAGAGCTGCGGATATACCTAAGGATGATAATAGAAAACACATTTTCAAAGCTCGTCCTCTTGACAATAAGGTACACTGTTTTTCTTTTTTCACGTTATATCTGTTTGCTTGAAAATAGGTACACTCATATGTGTTTTGTTTCTGTTTAATAGATAGTTTCAAGTAGACGAGACATTGGCATTTTCAGAAAAACCAAGAGAGAAACTGCAGTTCCCTTGGTAAGTCACTCTATAGATTAGTTCTTTACACTTGGTGTCTATATGTTTCTTTCAATTGTCTCAAACTGTGTTTTTAGACTCAAACTCGAGAGTTTAGTTTTCGGTCGGAAAAGAAGGTTCAACAAGATTTGCCAACAGACCTTTTCAGTAAGGTACAATTAACAGCTTTCATAATCATTTGCTCCAAGAACTTTCTTTAACAGTTGTTTAAACTTACAGCTCTCTATAAAACCGGAGCTCCAGCCAAACAATGGATCTCGGTTAAGATCCCATGAGCCTGAACAAATAAAGGTTGCAACTCATGAATCATCATTTCATTTGACTTTCTGTCTTAAGCTTATACAAGATATTTAACTGTGCAATCTATTTTCTTGGCATTAAAGGGGTCAAAGGAAAATAGACAGAACTCCTTTCAAACAGGGGATGAAGTAAGCTAATTGATTCAAGCCTACTACTACCTTACGCACAGTCACAGTTTCAATAATAATTTTGAGTAATAGTTAGTAACATCATTGCAGAGAACAAGGACGGTACAACGTGGTACATGGACCACTAGGAGGTGAAGGTGGAAGCATTGGGTGTGTGCAACTAAACTAACAAAGACATGGTTTTCTAGAGGTAACAAGTATTTACTCAAAAGGAAGGCTAACATATTGTGAAGAAGTCAAATATGTTAATCAGGGGATGTGGTGTGTAACATTATTATCGGTTTAATTTTGGTTTTTGGGGAAATGAAATGTATATTGGTCGGATACTCTTTCAGTTCTTGATATGAATGAAATACAAAATAGAGGTTCTAAACATCTCCGTCTGCGTATTTTTGAGTTACTGTATGTAAGCTTATAGATACTAGAAATTTTACCGGGCTACGCCCGGATTCTTAAACATATATTTTATCTTTAATATATATAATAGTATGATCAGGTTATATATATATCATGTTTAATTATCAAAATTTGGTATATTTTAATTATCTAAAATATATATGAGATGGTTATTAATATTAAAAGAATGCGTAATGAATAAAGACTTAATTAAACTTTAATTTTAACTTTTTATTTTTTTTACTTTATAATCAATAAATGTTTAACTAAAAACTAAGTTTTTATTTATAGTGCATTACTGCATTATAGAACCTATATGACTTAATGATGTATAGAATAATGGTTTGATAATTGATGCCCTTATAGACTAAGCCTCAGGCCATGAAAGTTAGCATCTATATTTCCATTGAAAAATTTCCATACTTTAAACAAAAATGTATGAAATAAGAGTAATTCACATTTCTTGACATCTTCTCAATTATTTTATGATGTTATATGCAAAATATCGCATTTTTTTGTTACCTATAGGCTATAACAGTGTATATACAACATTAAAACCTTAGTATTTACTGTAGAGATTAGGTTATATATAATCAAAACCTCCATAATCAATTTTTAATAAGATCTACACTAAAATGTGAGTTTATAAAAAATAAAATAAATTTACAATTCAAAATGTAGCATTTAATTTAAAATTAAAAAGTATTTGCGAGCCAACCATGGTAATATAGTCATTAAAAACTAATTCTCAATGGTCTAAAATGAGAAATAGAATCTCATTTATCACATGCTCATGTTGCCAATTGATAAAAGACAAAAAAAAAAAAAACAAATGTCAAGTTTTGCGCGATTTGTCATTAACACGTTAACATTCACATGATTATTTTTGTTTCTTATTACAAACAGTATAACAGATTCCCAACGTTAAGAAGAACAAAACACATAACTAAATAATGGTCATAAATAGTTTACGAAATAGAGTGGAGTTATAAATGAACATGCTGCAGCTGCGACGTGAGAAAGGTCTATTCTTGTTGGTCTCTTGATCGCATTTTCGTGTAAGCTCTTGTATATATGCGATCATGGACGGTTAGGAGTTTGAGTGGGGCAGGTTCACGCAGCCATTGCTTCAACCTAACTGCTCCCATGTTGCACTTGGAAGGTGGGGTGGTAAATTATTACCCTTGAAAGAGCTTGAAAAGTACTGGGGTTGTAGTGGGGTTAGGTAGGAAGTTAATAAAAGTGTTTTTTTTGTAGCTTACCTCACAATTTCGGTAACTCATTACCTTCAAAGACGATGGAATATATGTTTAGAAACCATGCTGGACCATTGGAAATGCAGCACCAGAAGACAGAAGTTGTACGTCGAAGCACAAATTAGACCAAGACCACACGTTCTCCCAAACTTGCAAAAACACAACAGACTCAAGCTAAACTTTTACATGAAGATGTATATATAGTGGTTGAACACTTGAAATACCTTGTGAAGTCTTCCTCGTCTTCTTACCTTTAGGTTTTCCCACCCAAACTTTCTTGGATGTTGTCATACAGTGTCTCCTAAGTTCTTCCAGAAGCTATCATAAGTAGAATCAGATATAATACAGCAGTCATGCTTAAAAGAGATTGGAGGTCAAACAAAAGATTTTGTAATAAATGGACCAAGCTGCTAACTCACAAAAATCAACATGCACCTTTGTGATTCTCCGCTCATTAGGAGATCTGCGTTTGTTTGTTTGTTGCTCTCCGCTCATTATACATTTTTTCCAGACTCCAGTCACCCTGAGAAATATATTTAGCTCAAACATGAGCAATTTCTTTCTTCATATGGTCAATCAGCATAGAAGTTAAAGTTTCATATAAATTTGGAGTAGGCTATCAATTAATAAAATATCTGAAAATTGTATTTATGAGTGAAGAAGAGTTGGAACAATCTACAGACTACAAAGCTTAGGTGTGAGCATTGGAAATGAAAAAAAAAACTAACCTTATCCAACCGTTTCATTATCAATAGTTATTTCTTGCTTTGGTGGGAGTTCTCATGGGTACGATTGTCACATGATTTCTTCAAAATCCTTCTTCATGTCTAGACATTTGAAGAGAAAATTAAGTCAGAATTCAGAAAGATTGATTTGACAATTAAAGTTTGTAACACTAACAAATACAACAACAATCATTCCTCACCTTCCTCAACAGTATCTTCCTCCATGTCCCATGAAACACCATCAGCCGTGGATGCTTGCTGTCTTGCTCGCCCGAAGTGGCTTCGCGTTCCGACATCTCATGTCTCAACTTAGATTCTCTTAATAATTGCAAGTCTTGATCCTAAAGTCCAATATCAGAGGCACATCAACAACTAATGCTAGATGCTAACAGAGTCAATGAAAGGAAAAAAGTATCGGTGTCTCATTTCCAGTTGTGTGCCTCCTTTCTATAAACAATAAGGTTTTTAAAAAGTTAACTGATTAACAAAATCGGTTCCGACACTTAGCCTCTACAATATCAGTGTGATTTATACCTGATTGAAATGCCAGAGCATATCTAATTTTTGCACAATCCTCTGCATGTTCAGTCTTTCTTTTGCCGTTATGTTGTGATAAGTTGCTGCATGTTCAGATCGGAGATGAATAAGGGAAACAAATGAATTACTAATCAAATAGATGAATGGAGCTACTGAGAAAAAAAAATAAGAAAACAACATACGACATTCTAGTGGTTTTGATATTCCTTTACATAGATCTCACCAGAAACTTGGAGGTGGAAATAGCATTCTTGGTATCCAGGAAGAGGTGGAACCAGTGACGATTAAATCAGCTGTGGAAGTGTGATTGATTTCGCGGGAGCCTTCATAGCGGATGTGGACAATGCGGTGGATTCCTCTGGTAATCGGCTTCTTGAAATCCATGGATGCAAGGAAGAGTGGTCTATAAATACATAGTTGGCTAGGAAGGTGAAAGGAGAGAGCCATTACATAAGAGAAACTGAAGGATTGATGAGTTAGAAGCCAAGAATGGATTACAGAAGAGGGTGGATTTGATTATTGAAAAAACTGGAGAGATTAGCTCATCTCATAGGAGGAAGTCGAAAGGGGAGAGAGGTGATGAGTTGCTCTCCGCAACAATAAATCAAAACCAATTAAATTTCCAACCAAGATCAAACCGGGACGCAGTATTAAAACAAACCAGGTCCGAACACAATTTGATTTTGCAGTCAAACCAGAATGACGTGTTCATTGTAAGCCTTCTTATTGGCCAAATATTTTTGCCTATGTGGACATGTTAAAAGGGCTTCATTTGCCCCTTTTAATAGTAGTTGATAGCATTGGCAGACCAAAATCAAAAATACAAATGAATGGCTCAGAGGTCTATGTGATGGGTGATAAAAAAAGTTAAAAAAAAAAAAGAAAGTGGCTTCGTCCAGGTTTGAACTGGAGACCTTCAGTGTGTTAGACTGACGTGATAACCGACTACACCACGAAACCTTGTTGTACAACTTCTTGGTTATATTTTATATAAATGTACTTCCTAATTAACTCAATTTTAGTTTTATGGGCTAACAAAAAGCCCATAAAAGCCTTATTACACGTACTATTTCGACATGTGGAAGTCTTACTTGCTTTCCATCTTCCCTTTTCGTGTCAATCGATGTCGGGATTCACTCTTCTACCCGCACGGTTGTTTATCGCGTGTCACTCACGCGCTCTGCATCGCCTTCACCACACCAAGCTTTTTCTTCGCTGCAAAATGTCTTCTTCTTCTTCTTCCTCTCTTACTCATTCGATCACGCTTCCGAGCCAACCCACCGAGCCTGTCAACGTCTCTACAGCCGCGGGAGTCTCTTCCTCTGATTTCAGGCGAGTTGAGTGTTGATCTCTCTCTTTCTCTCCCTCGACATGCGTAGATTATCCTCTTGAAACTCTCTGGTTATTTGTATGTTGTAGAAACGCGATAGATTCATCGTTGTTCAAGAATTGGCTAAGGAACTTGGAATCAGAAACTGGAATTTTAGCTGATGGGACAATGACATTGAAGCAAGTGATCATTCAGGTATTAAACCCATCTAACTTTTTATATAATTACATACATGATAAAGGATGTTTCTTAATTGAAACAGCTATTAATTGTCTTTGGAATTAGGGAGTTGATATGTTTGGTGAACGAATTGGCTTTCTCAAATTCAAAGCAGATATTTTGGACAAGGAATCTGGTCACAAGGTATCTTCTTCTTCTTCTTCTTCTAATCTGTATCAACCAAAGTATACTCTTTTGCTTTGGTCTAAGCTAAGGAAACTATTAGGTTCCAGTAATTGTGTTTGCAAGAGGAGCAGCTGTAGCTGTTCTCATTCTCTTGCACTCTGATGATGGTGAGACTTACGCGGTTCTCACTGAGCAGGTATTTTCATTTTGTTGTGTGTGAATGATTTATGTCCAAGTTAGTTAGTAAGATCATGTGTTATATTTTTTTTTTTTCTGAAGGCTAGGGTTCCTACTGGGAAGGTTGTTCTGGAATTACCTGCTGGGATGTTGGATGATGATGAAGGTGATTTTGTTGGTACTGCTGTTCGTGAGGTCACCTCTCTCTTCTCTTTTGAACACTGTGTTTTGTTTTGTTTTGTTTTGTTCATGTTACATGACAGTTTTGCTTATTTAGGTGGAAGAGGAGATTGGTATAAAACTGAAGAAAGAAGACATGGTTGATCTCACTGCTTTCCTTGACCCATCTACAGGCCACCGGATCTTCCCTTCTCCTGTAATCCCTCCTTTTTTTCTCGATTTATCTTCCATTTTTCTCGTTTGGAATATGATTTGATTGTCTCCCTCTGGTTCAGGGAGGCTGTGATGAAGAGATGAGCGTGTTTCTCTACAGACTTCAAGTGGAACAAGAGACAATCAGCCAGCTACACGGTAAAGAGACAGGCCTCCGTGAACATGGCGAGTTTATAAAAGTCCGAGTAGTCCCGTACAGAGAGCTCTGGCGCAAAACAGCTGATGCTAAGGTTCTTATGAGCATTGGTCTCTACGAAATGGCTCAGAGAGAGGGTCTCGTCCCCAGGCACTGAAACCAAACTCTGTAATTTCCTCTGTTTCTTATCGCGTTTGTGTAATTTTATTTGTTTCTTCATTTTTCCTCTTGCTGACGTGGAACACTTCACAGCCACACGATCCAGCTTTTCTTTTCTCCTATTTTCCCCTCCAATTACCCAGTAACATTACGAAAATGAAAAGAAATTTAATTATACAAAAAATCAGAAGAACCTGGCCCTCTTACACTGTAAATGTCACGTTATGTGACAAAGTTTAGAATCTTTTGCTTAATGGAACATTATTATTACAAATTTCTGGATGGTGTTGGCTTAAGGTTTCTGTAACATAGTAATCTAAAGCTGTTTTGTCATCACTGTCTGATTGTAATATTAAAGCACACTCAATTTTCAAATTCATTTTTAGTTTTATGCTCTTTGCTTCCTTAGATGTTCAGTCATATAAGAAACACTCCGTCTTGAGAAAAGTTGTTGTTGAATTGTTAATCAAACATTCGTTTGCTCCATGGAAGTTTTGCGTAGTTCTTAATTTTTTTTGTAACTTCTGTGCAGGTCAGGTGGGTGGAGACGAAGTGGATAGGAAGATTTACCTTATTGTAGCATCAACAAAAATGAGAAGACATCACTCGGCGATATGGAACAAGGGTTTCTCCAATCTCCCAGCCATGCAAGTAAAAAACACTGATTAACAAAGATTACTTTTTTCTCTTTCTAATTTGATAGAGCAGTTTTCTCAGTCTCAGAAATCTTCTCTGCCTCGCTTTTGGAGTCATTCTATTACGAAGAGTTTGATAACTTTAAAGAAGAGTTGATGTGGGAAGGAAGCAGTGTTGTCAGTGATAAAACTAATATAATTTAATAGTTTTTTCTTTGAGAAAGATATGATTTAATAGTATCTTATTACTCCACATGATAATTCTTGACTTTTGAGATCTACTGTTATGTATTTCAGGTTCTAATGAACGGAGATTCCTTGAAGCTTCAATGGCTTATGTCTCTGGAAACCCAGTCATGAGTGATGAAGAATATATATGACAAGCTGAAAATGAATCTATAGGTATATAAATCATTAGATTCATCCATTTTGTAACAAGTATAGTTTGTATCTGAATTATGACTATTTCTCTTTTGTTTCTGTAGATGGACGGTAGTGAAATTGTGTGTGAGGGTCCAAGATGCAGTCTTCGTAGTAAAAAGGTAAAAATTGTAAGCTTGAATGTTAAATACTTTATTTACTTTTTAAGACATTGTAGAACGTAACATTAGTTTCATTCTTCTGTGACAAACTCTATAGACTTTTTTGGCTTCCTGATTATGCAGGTTTACAGTGATCTTGCTGTAGATTATTTCAAAATGTTCTTACTAAATGTACAAAGCAACTGTAGTTACTCTCGAGCTGTGAGTATATTTCTGTTCCTCTCTCAAGTTTAACACATCATTTGAGGTATTGTTTATTGAAACATTGTTGTTTCTTCAGTGTTGTTCTCCAGGTTTTTCTTCCTTGGTGACCTTACGGGTTTTGAAATCACTTACGTGCTCGAGGTAAAACCTCTTTTGACTCTTCTTATATGGTTTGGAGGATAAAATACTCTGAAAAGGTTCCACCAACAATGTCAAATGTTCCTGGTAAGCAAGGTCCTTATCTTTAGACTCGATTCAATCACACTAAAAAAAAGTATATGAAATTTGATGGTTCTTGAAAATGGTTCTCTGGTTAGCTTTTGAACGGAGATGGTATATGACTCAAGTACACGGTTGATCACACTACCAGAAGGCATGGTCGGTCCTGAACAAAGCCAAATGAAACATTAGCCTATAGTCCCAGATTAATTGAAGAATTAGACTCCCAAATATCTTTTTGAATAAAGTTTTTTATTGAAATCTCTACTAAATCACCTACAGCTTCCAAAATCTCATGACCAGCCTGTCAAAAGGAGGCAAATCTTAAACCCTATGAGCCAAGGTTTCATTCTGATCAAACCAATTCTTGCTTCCATGGAAAAGTCAAGATTCTAAGTTTCTCTTCACTTTTTGGTACTCAGGGAAATGTATGTAAAATTGACACTAAGTCAATGAAGATAGTGGATAAGTCAAAGAGGAGAAAAAGCAAAAGTGCTCTATGTGCTGTTTGGTGCAAACTTCAGATCTTTGTGTGTTTGCTCTCTCGTTGACTTGTATTGTGTGTTGTAACTGCAGCAATCAAAGAGAAAAAAAAAGACAATAGGATTATTTCTTTGGGGGATTTCGCTCTCACTAGAAAAGGGTAAAAATAACAGGAACAATAGCATAACAAAATATATTTTCTTATAGTTTTGTATATGCATCATAATTTGCAGAGAAAATATATTTCTAACTAGCCTAGTGGAATTGTAGTGTCAGATTTGATGTTGTAGGTTATTGTCAAGGCCGGTCCAAGACTTATAAGAATAGTTGTAGTTCTGTTAATAGGATGAAAAGTAATAGTATGGGGTAATATGTAATATGAGTTGGGGAGTGATCTTTTGAGACAATACACAAAAAGGAAAGTTAAACGAACATAACTAGCATGCCAATCTGTGTCTTTTTAATAATAAAAAGAGCAATGATTATCATCATCTTCTCATGCCCCCATCATCATCATTCACCCAATTTCCTCTCACCGTTAGACCTAGCTTCCACTATTTAACATGATTTCATTAAGATCTAAGTTTCATTTCAAAATTTCTTGATCTATATATTTACTAGAACGGATGCTTTTAATCTAATGGATTGTTGTGTAGTAGAATGTGGTATCATTTTAATCGTGTGGTTTAGATGTTGATAGGTTGTTAATAAAAGATGTTGATAGGAGAACCTTATTATGCTGACGAAATTGGATATATTTTTTTTGGTTGGTGTTTGCTTATGTTTGGTATTGATGGGAAAATGACATTTTTAGCAAGTTTCTGACGCCAACAAAAACATACTTTTGTTTATTACGTGGGGCAAAACATTGTAAATCTATCAAATGATCGAAGCATTTAATCAAATCTTTCAGTAAATAAACTAATACAAGCAATGATCAAACAGACTACAAAGTGTAAAGTAATGTCACGAGGCTAGAGAAAAGTAGGATAATATTGTAGACACTAGGCATTATAAACATCGGTCATGCTTATTCATTATTATGTCTTAAAAACACATAGTAATAGTATATACTATATACTGATCATGTCTGTTCCCATAACACATGCCAAGAAAGTAATACACAATCAATCTCTTCATTTCTCTCTTTCTGACCATTTATTTCTTCAAAACCCTAAAAAAACTTAAAAATCTTCTCAGAATCTTTTGGATCCTGCTCACATGGGCTCCATACCATTTATCTTCATCATCCTTCTCTTTCATTTACAGAAATCAAAATCTCAGACGATCCAATCAGCACATCTCCTTGATCTAATGATCAGAGATTACACCATCAGAAACTTTAACATACATGTCAAGACAGGCACGATCCAGAAAATTCATCTTCCAGCAAATTTCTCATCCATTGATATCGACACAGCTAAGTTTAGATGCGGGAGTTTGAAGAGACACGGTGCGAGAATCGGTGAGTTCCACTTTGGTCCCGGCTTGAGTGTGCAGCCATGCGTCGAGAGAGTGATTCTGGTAAGACAGAACTTGGGTTTCAACTGGTCTTCTTCTATTTACTCAACCGGTTATAACTTAACCGGTTTCAGTTACCAGCTTGCGACTCCGGTTCTCGGTTTATTGGCTTACAATTCTAATCCGGACGGTGTTGCTGTGAACCCATATGAAGTAAACTTATTGGGCACAGAGCAAAACCCTATTCTGATCGACTTCTTGAGCGTCAAGTCAAGTGGTAACCCTAGTAGTGTAAACTCCTCTCTTTTGTGTGCATGCTTCACAAGTAACGGTAACATAACGTTTAAAGAGCAAGTTTCAGCCTATGTTTGTTTGGGAACAACACAAGGGCATTACGCGCTAGTTGTGAGAGATCATGACAGGGCTGGTGGGGTGATAACGCCACCGTCTTCTCCGACGGTAAATGACGGAAGAGGTGGGAAACTGAGCCGGTGGAAAGTGGCGGTCGGGAGTGTGATTGGGTCAGTGATTGGAGCGTTACTGCTAGGGTTATTAGTGGTGGCGATGTTAGTAAAGGGGAAGAAGAAAGCGATGAGAGAAGAGATAGAGCAGAGAGCTTATGAAGAAGAAGCACTTCAGGTTTCAATGGTGGGTCATGTTAGGGCTAATCCCAATAATAGGTACAAGTAACAAGTAACAGCATAACTTAATAGTTAGATGTTCTTTAATTAATGACCATTTGTTTTCCATTTTTAGTGTTAATTGAGATTTCCTAATAAATGTTTTCGTGTGACTTGTAAGATCTATTTTTCTTTTGAATGAATTTTAATTTAAATGTAGTTAATAAAAAAAAGAGTCAAATTTAAATGTAAGATGTACGATGTATCTCACTATCTATAGGATATAGAGTTTGATTGGTGTAAATTGTGGCCTTTGTTTCTTTTACTTTAAAAAATACTAGGTGTTTTGTCCGCATATGCGGGCTTAATTATTTTTAAGAAAATTTAAAAAATCATCAACATAAATGATTATTTTCATCCAAAAAATTAGATCTAAAACATTAAACGTTTTTCCATGATAAAATTATTCATAACTTAAAAAAAAAAATCTATTTTTCCTTTTAAAACTTTGAAAACAAAATCTAATATTTGTTTCATTTCTTCTCAACTGATAAAAAAATATAAAAACCTATCTTTCAATTTGATAAATTGAATCAATAAATATACATTCAAAATTGATCTTACAGAAAGAATAATATTAGTTTGGATAATAATACAATATATTTGAATTTATTTTGTCAACAACGTATTTTTTTTCTTTTTGAATGATCTTTTATTTTATTATGATTAATTCATGTTTAATGTTATAGTATATAAAATATAAAATAAATTTAATTTAACGTGTGAGTTCAGAGGCGGAAAATTACTTCACAAATATATATCATTATGTTATATTATTATATTCTTTTAATTAAAAAATAATTACGTATTATAAATTTTTCAGTTTTCTCTTTTCAGTTATGTACAATTAAATTTTTTTAAAAATCATCAAAATAAATAATTATTTTAATCCAAAAAATTAGACCTAATACATTAAACGTTTTTACATGATAAAATTATTCATAAATTAAAAAAAATCTATTTTCCCTTTAAAACTTTGAAAACAAAATCTAACATCTGTTTCATTTCTTCTAAATTGATAAAAAAATATAAAAACCTATCTTTCAATTTGATAAATTGAATCAATAAATATACATTCAAAATTGATCTTACAGAAAGAATAATATTAGTTTAGATAATAATACAATATATTTGAATTTATTTTGTCAACAACGTATTTTTTTTCTTTTTGAATGATCTTTTATTTTATTATGATTAATTCATGCTTAATGTTATAGTATATAAAATATAAAATAAATTTAATTTAATGTGTGAGTTCAGAGGCGGAAAATTACTTCACAAATATATATCATTATGTTATATTATTATATTCTTTTAATTAGAAAATAATTACGTATTATAAATTTTTCAATTTTCTCTTTTCAGTTATGTACAATTAAAAGTTTCTTTATGAGTATTTATTTATGTGTTTTCTGTTTTTGATTTTTATTAAAATATATTTTCCGGATAACAACACAACATATATAGGAATTATCGTTTTTCTTTTTAAATATATATTTAGATTATGGATAATTCTTATCATTATTATTAATTTAAATCATTTATCTAATCAAATAAATATCAATTTCGTTTTTATTTTTTTATCTAATTTATATATTTTATTTATTAAGGGTATAAACGATATTAACCACTCTAACTTTTAATGTGAGAGCTCCGTTGCGAAAAATCACTTCGAAAATAATAGTATAGATAAAATATAAAATATATTTAATTTAATGTGTGAGTTCAGAGGCAGAAAATTACTTCACAAATATATATCATTAGGTTATATTATTATATTCTTTTAATTAGAAAATAATTACGTATTATAAATTTTTTCAATTTTCTCTTTTCAGTTATGTACAATTAAAAGTTTCTTTATAAGTATTTATTTATGTGTTTTCTGTTTTTGATTTTTTATTAAAATATATTTTCCGGATAACAACACAATATATATAGGAATTATCTTTTTTTTTTAAAAAAATATATATTTAGATTATGGATAATTCTTATCATTATTATTAATTTAAATCATTTATCTAATCAAATAAATATCAATTTCGTTTTTTATTTTTTATCTAATTTATATATTTTATTTATTAAGGGTATAAACGATATTAACCACTCTAACTTTTAATGTGAGAGCTCCTTTATATATTTTATTTATTAAGGGTATAAACGATATTAACCACTCTAACTTTTAACGCGAGAGTTCCGTTGCGAAAATCACTTGTAAATTGTGGCTTTTGTTTCTTTTACTTTAAAAACTATGGTATAACTTTTTGATGTCGCTCTAAATTTTAGTGTTGTATATTTATATCGAATGAAGAAAATTAGGTCTCAAGGGCTAAAAAGCTTACCATGTGATATTTGGTAGAATTAAGAGAATGTAAATGAAGAATTTGCAAGAACAAGAGAGAGAGATGAGAGATTTCAACAGAGAAGAGAATGAGAAAAAATGGTTTTCTTTGATCATTCCAATGGTGGCTACAAAGTTGTTTACAAGTTTTTCTAAAATAACCAACACATAAAATTACTGTTAGGCCCCTTAAACTATTTTCTCTTTTTATTTATCACTTTATGTCAATACTATATTCCCATTTTAATCACTACAAGAAAATACGTCCTTTACTAGGACGGGTTTTTCCTCGTTATTTCCTGGTAAACAATCCTTTACTAAGAAATAACGAGGAAACGCGTTTCGTCGAAAGACGTTCATCGTAAATCATATTTTCCTCGTAATTTCCTAGCTAATTTACGAGGAAACATTTCCTCGTAAACGCGTGGATATGTTTTTCTCGTACGCTCCACGTAGGCTTTCCTCGTAAGCTCATAGTAAACTATTTCCTCGTAATCTCGTAGTAGGATCTTTACGAGGAACTTGCTAGGAAAGTTTACGAGGAATTTACTTCGAAACCTTTACGAGGATTTTGCTTCGAAATAAATTTTTCCTATTTAAAAAAAATATTTATAAATTAAAAATTATATATATTAAAAAATTAAAAAAACCAAATTATAAATAAAAAATAAATAACAAAATATTTATAAATAACTAAATAATATACAATTAATAAGTTTTAAAATTCATAATATAAAATTAAAAACTAAAAAAAAACTAAAAGGGATGCTGCTCTTGAAATTGGTGCACGAAGTCGTCGTCTCCAATGTTGGATGCCGGCTGTGACTGAGATGGTGGAGGCTGTTGGGGTGGAAGGGCTCCGCTTTCCCGTCTTTGACGCAACATCTCCGCCACTTGCGGGTTTCCAACCGCCATAATGTCGAGAATATCGGTGAGCGTACTCACATGAGACTGCGTCGCCTGCAACTCCGTCTGCAGCTGAGCATTGGCATCGTCTTGTTGGTGAACATAAGCCGATGTCACTGCGGGGACATCGTTAACCGAGCAAATCCCGACAATACGGCCCTTTTTCCTAGGGACGAATTGTAAATAAAAATATTAATAACGTAAGGAAGAATTTAAATAAATAATAAAAATTAATATATTAAAACAAATTATTTACCTCCTCGTAAATCTTATCCACTTCAAGAGTGGATAATACGACCGGAGCCCCAGTCTGCTGAGTCAGCTGGGTCTGGCGTTCGTCAACTCGGGCAGCAACCTCGTTGTAGATCCGCTCGGAAGCAGGATTTACAAACTGCCCACTTTTTTTCCGGTGGGTCCGCTCGTAAAGGTCTTTCAGAGATGGAAGAAATCCTGTCTCTTTAGCCTTAATTTTTTTTAAAATTAAATATTAATTTAGAATATTAGAATATTCAAATAAAGTAAAAATTAAATAGTTATAAAAAATACCATGTCTAGACGAACTCCCCCGTGAGGTTTTCGGCCCATGGTGTGAAGCATCTTCGTGTTTTCATGCTCGTCTGTGGTCATGCGGTTCTCGGAGTTTGTCTGGGAGGTTCTGATCGAGTCCGGCAACGCCCAATAGCTGATGAGGCCATCCCACACCGTGGTTGTGAGGTAATCGGGTTTCCCGCGCTCGTAACCGTCCACCTGATTTAAAATTATTAGAATTAAAGTCAATAATATATATTTTAAAAACTATACATATATTATAATTTATAAATTTATACCTGAAAGTCGCCCTTCCAGTTGTATGTCGCACAATCGTGCTTTTGCCTTGGCCTCGAACTCTGACTTCACCCGCTGGTGAATCCCAATAGACCAACGATATTTTTGCTGCAACCAGAAAAAATAAAAGACGGATTAGTTCAATAATATTCATAATTTTAAATGATTAAAAATAAATTAAGTTGATTTACTAAACTTACAGCGAACGATTTGAACCACGTCTTTTTGGTGTGGCTCCCCGTCATCTTCCAGTTTGGAGCTGCATCGGGAAAGTATCCCTTGATACAGTCCGTGACGCTAGATCCGACACAATTTTCAAGACCAAACCTGGAAAGACAGAAAATAAATCATTAATTAGAACATACCATAATACTTTTTAAAAATTAAGAAAACTTTTTAAAAATTAAAACATACCATAATACATTTTGGCCGTCCCGTCGGATAGGATCTAACTCTGGCAGCCCTTCTCTGCCTGGAAGGGCCAAAATATCCTCCACCGTGTACACCGCAATTGGTGCGTTCGGCGGCACCTGCAAATCAGAATGAATCCCGACCGGTGGAGGTGGAGGAGGAGGATGAGGAGGAGGAGGTGGCTGCTGAGACCGGGATGCCGTAGAACCTCCCTGAGTCTCGGGAACTCCCGAAGATGAACCACCGGGAGCTGACGAAGACGAACCGGGCCCGAATAGATCTCCATAGTGAATCCCCTGATCAAGAGGCCTCCTCGACTGAGCAGCACCAACTTTGCTCTTTCTAACCATCTAAATTTAAAAAAAAAAAAAACAGAAAACATTAATTCTCGTATAATTTTTAAAAACAGTTAAACTAACCTAATCTAAATTTCCTAATCTAACTAGCTAATCTAAATTTCCTAAACTAACCACCTAATCTAAATTCCCTAATCTAACCACCTAATCTAAATTCCCTAATCTAATCACCTAACTAGGAAATAGAGAGTACCTTAAGAGAATTTGGAGAGGAGGTTACTATGACTGAGAAATCGGATTGCTCGTGTATAT